GACACGAGCAACACACAAAGCACAGACTGCTAAAGTGAACCTAAACACGACACCACCTTCACCTGATGTATTTACACGTAAGCACGAGTTTATGGCTGTGTGCTGTCCGCTATCACAGGTGAATTCTGCAAATAAAAATGTATGCAGCTGCTTTTGTTTGGACGAGCCATCAAGTTTATGTTACTAAGTAAGACAAACTTAACGACGCTTCATTTTCACAGGCTTGTGTTAGCAGCAGTGTGGATTAAAAAGGCTGTCCTGCACACTCTAAACAGAGACTAAAGACATGACGAAGGGAAAAATAAATACTTACAACTATCCGCTCACTGTTTTTCACCGGTCTGCACTTCAGCTGAGAACAGACTCACTCGGAGCCGTGTACAGCGGAGACTGTCTCAGAGCTCTGAGAGCTGAGGGGGTTTGTAAGAACAGCCTCCACCTACAATACCCACGCGCGCACACACGCGCCCGTGTTTCTTTTTTTTTTCTTTCCTTCTGTTTTTTGTTGGAATTTCGAGGACCCTGCAGACACGACGTATTAGCAACTCTCTTAACCAATACAAACCACAACCCTAGTTCTAGAAATAGTTTTAGATGTTTTAAATATACATTATATTATAATGGTTATGCTCGGCTTAATCACATCCTGTATTATCCTCTCTCGTAGCTGAGCAGCGAATGTTGTGGAAATCTGAAATAAATCAGATTTCTCTGTGACTTTTATTTGACTTTGCATTGGTTCAAATTACCAGCAGGTCCATGTGCTTTTTTACAAAGCACCTCCAATATTTACACATCACTGCCACGATCACAGAATACGGTCAGAACACTGTGTGCGAAAGATAACTGATGTATGAGCGTGTGGTATACCTGAAAGATTATTCTTTGCCATCATAACACAAAGCAATACTTTAATCCAACTGAAATAAATAAAATCTGTTTATTTAGTCAAATTATTAGGAAGATATGCTCATAATAAATTGAATACATACCAATCAAGTACATTTCATTTGGCCAGATTCCATTAAACGTTTTTCCTGGACTTAAAAAAACAAAGACACAGAAAGTTGACATGTAATTAAATTAAAATCAGCATTCTGAGCATAAATATTTTCTGAGTGCATGAAGACAGATTGACAAAATATGGAGCCTTTCACTGAGTCAGGTCAGCTTCACAGTCTTAAAATTTTCCATTACACTAATCAGTTGTTAATACCTTTGCAGGGAGTGCACAAATGAACAAACAGCTAAGCACCTGAATCTCTGGAGCCATTACTCATAGCAGCAGCTTTGGAAAACCATCACTTTATGCTTTTTAAACAAGTGCCATTAACATAGGTTCATTTTTTTCTTTTTGTGCACTTAAATTTGAGTCCTCAAGACAAATTGGCGGTAAGACGTACTGTATAACAAAGTACAGGGATAGTGCTATCACAGAGTCACATATTTTGCACAAAGCAATTTTTAAAAGCTGTGTTTGTTTAGACATTTAATTCTGATTCAGAAATGCAAACAAAGTTTTCAAAAATAGAAATTCATACGAACATAGCTGGCACTTTGCTTTGCTCTCTCGTCTTTCTGCCTCTGTGAATAGCTGTAAGTAAAAATGGAGGGGCCATTGATTAACAGTCCACTTTCAGACCAGACTTTTTAATTGAACGAGGCAGTCACTTTTACGACCGTCAGCCAGTGCATTTCACCTTCCTCCTTAGCAATAACTAAGGCAAAAATGCAGTTCAACCCAAGGCATAGTGAGAATGGGCTTCGTGAACATGGCTGAAGCAAATGTCATGTTCACAGAGTGAGATATATGCTGAGTGGTGCATAAGTAGTTTGGGTCTCCTTAGAGAGTACTCTGAAGGTGTGCCTGCATGTGTGTGTTCTTCTATTGTCTGTCATTCCAGCACACAGTTCCAACATTGTTAGTTTTCAAGCACCTACACCTGTGCGGCAGACTCACACCCAAGCTCCTGCAGTGGGAACTCTAACCTTTAGTACATGTGTCCCCACTCAGCCCATTCATCCTGATCAGGAGCTGTTATGATCTAAATGGTGTTCTAGATCCAGTAAGCAAACAGGAAGAGCTGCAATGTGTGTGCTTTTTCATTAATGAATAAATAATACAAAGCTATAGTGCAGACTACAGCGCCATCCAGTTGGTGTTCACTCTCTCTGCAGTAGAGTATCACTTCCTGTTCACATAGTGGTGTTTTTGTGTAGCTTATCTGCACAGCAATTTAATTATAACCTTATAGATAACTTCTTATTTCATAGGGTTAGGGTTAATCTTCCTGCTTGAAAATGACGTGCCCAAAGTGAATTGACTATTTCGCTTTGGACGTCTGCTTTCAGCACCCGATGGCATGTCCGGGTGAATGAGCCGCGCTTTGCGTTTACATCTTTGTGCGGAATCTGTTTACACATTCAAAATAAAGAGAGAGAAGTTTGTTTGTTCCTTTTTTGTTTCTTTCAACTTTCATCAAAGTCAGAAGTATGCATACACTTCCTTATTATTTGGTAAAATTGCCCCAAAACTGTTTCACTTGGGCCACACGCTTCAGGTGTCCTTACACCAGCTTTCTGCAACAGTTTGCTGGAATCTTGGCCCACTCCTCTTGACAGAACTGGTGTAACTGGGTCAGGTTTGTAGGTCTCCTTCCTGAGCGGTATGATGGTTGTACATTCCTGTACTTTTTATTCTCACGTATTATTGTCTGAATGGATGAATGTGGGACCTCCAGGCATCTGAAAATTGCCTGTCATGGTGGTAATCTCCCAGAAGGGAGCCATTAAACTGAAGGCGGAGTTCTATTGGGCTTGGTTAGCCATCACTCAGTGGCCTCCAGCTCACACTGGAGGGGTTCACAGCAGGGCTGTGCGATATACTGAATATACTCAATGTATCGCAAGTTTTTCCAAAAAAAGTGAAACACTGCCTGGACTGACAAACAAACCATCCTTAAAGATATTAGAACACATCAAGCGTCTGTGTTATTTGAGCCAGAGACTGCACTTGTGGATGAACAATAAAAACATTTTATATTTATTATATCAGTAATGTAACAATGCAAAGTTATGAGAAGCTTAAACTTAGTTTCAGAATAATTAAATCTGAGACTTTGTTTTATTGTAAGGTTAATAAAGTTTTTGATTGCGTGACAAATAAAAATATGAACTTTAATTCTGAAAATATTTAACTATTATTAAATAACACCGGGTACAATATTGGTAATATGTGTGTTGTTCAGCAGAACAGTGACCAGTATGTTGGCTGATATACTTTATTTATATTTTAAAATAAAAGTTGGGCTGATTTTAACGTATTAAAAGGAGTGTTTTTCATTATTATTTTTTAAATAAACATACAGTGTTTATATTAAATGCTGTACTAGAAATAAGTTCAAGGACGATAAAAGGTCATGTGATTTAGTTACATTCAACTTGTATGCAGCAAAATTAAAAATAAGTTACCACAAGTTGTTTTTTAATTTGGTAAATAATTGATAAAATGTTAAAAGTACTGGTTGTGTTTGACCTCATCACCAGGATGAGTTGGAAATACTTTAAATACCCTCAGATGGCCTTTTGCTGGTTGGATTGCCACTACAGTCTGTAAACTGTAGAGGTAATTTTGTGAGCTCATTGGATGAACAGTTTCTGAAATACTCAGACCAGCCCATCTGGCACCAGCAACCACGCAGTCTCTTTCCCCCATTCTGATACTTGGTTTGACCTTCAGCAGGTCATCATGTCTGTATGCTTAAATACTTTAATTTGCTGACGTCTGATTGGTTCACTAGATATTTGTGTTTAACGAGCAGGTGAACAGGTGTACCTGACAAAGTGTGTGTAACCCTCAGTGTTACTGACATGTTCCACACTGATGCACAACAATACTCTGTGCCCCTCACTGTTCGCTACCTTAGCATAGCTAAGCCAAATAATACACACCAATTAGTTAAACTACATGAATGTCTTAAAGCCATAAAGACCTGGATGACCTCTAATTT